TGAAACAACTTTTTAGTGTTTTTCTTTTAACTTATAGTGCTGTTTACTTTTAACATCATTTAGGAAAAAACATTTCATTGTGTATTTGCTTTGCAAAGTATTTATTTAACCATTAAATTATAGTTTAAGTTTTTAATGTTAGATGCTGTAAAAAATGTTTTTCTTAAATGTTCTTCTTTCTGTGCAGACACTTGAAATTAGTAATTTACATTTTCATTACACTTCATAAAAATTTATAAAATTAAAATAGAAGTAATGATTTATTTTTGCATAGTATAAACTTTTTATACCTGAAGAAAAATTGAAAAAAGTTATTTGTCAATTTATTATTTTTTAGGTTATATAGATCTGTTGAAATATTTTTAAATGATAAAAGCTTTTGTATTAGACTTTAAAATTTATTACTGAAATGGATACAAATTCAGTTTTGGTGTTGAATAAAAATTGTTAGCAGTACTTTAAAAACATTAATAATACACAATAAAAATGTAATTAAAATGTTTGATACAATCCTTAAAATATAAAGACTAATTAAAATGAATAATATTTTGACATCAAAGTATTATCATAACTAAGACATGAAAAAAAAAATGTAATTAGCAGAACAACAACCTTATATTTAGTGTAGATTTAGTTAAGAACCAGGATTCTAACTATTATTTGAGCTGATTAACTGATGTTTCATGTTATCCAAGCCCAGTGCAATAAATAAAAAAATGTCGTTAAAATAGTCTCACTCTAAAGGCAAATAGCATGTAGACTTGGGTTTTAGCAATAATTCAAACTAAAGATAAGGTCCCTATTGTTACCAAGTTTGAGCTTGGGGAGCCTTGATTCTTATGTGCTGTGAGTGAAAAATTAATTTTTTACACAAGAGTTCGTAGCTAGTTGTGTAACCGCAGAGCAGTGTGAGTGACTTTGGCCTTTTTTTTTTTTTGTGTGTGTGTGTGGGGGGGGGGATATTTTAATGACTGCTTGTTGAAAATGACTGATAAAAGAAAATGTGTGGTTTTATTACTAGAAGTAAAGCTTGCTGCTGTCAACAGGCTAAGATCGAGGTGATATGATTAAAAAGGTGGCTAACAGTGTAGGCTTTGGAAAAGTGACAGTTGGTGATTGAAGAAGGAAAAGGGATGAAATTTAAAAGTTAATAATTAGCATGCACATGCAACTGGAGATGATAGCATTAAAAAGAAAAACACAATGAAAGATAGCAATTAACATCAAAAGCATATTGCTTGTGGTTTTAGCAGATGAGAGAGAAGGGAAGTCCTTTATCTGTTCTGATATTACATGCTAAGGCTTCGGACTTTCTCAAGCGTTGGCAAAGACAGTGAAGAGGAATTCACTGCCAGCACCAGTTGGCTCAATCATATGAAAAAATGGCATGGAGTGCAGCAATTAATCTTTGTTAACAGATTATAAAATGCTCAGGAAAACAAACTGAGCCCTTAGCAGATTTATAGCTGTGACATATTTAGTCTGGATTTTAAAATGCTGCTGAGAAGGGCATTAGCATCTAATCAAGAACAATCAGTTCTTTGTTGTCAATGAAGTACAGAAAAGTTGAGCAGTTTGGGTATGTGTGAGCAAATCTTAAGCTTTTATTGGTTTATAAGCTAACAAGCTTAAGCTTTTATTGATAGAAGTTAAAAAATTCAAGCGCATTTAAAAATGTTAGTGTTGGTGATCTTTGTGTAAAGCACACAACCCCTCCCCCCCCAAAAAAAAAAGGCATTTGGATAGATTCAACAATAATAGTTATGGTTCCATAAAGGGTTTGTATTAAGTTTTAAGTGATTTTCTGATGATAATAATTTCTCCCATAAGGCCAATCTTGATTTTGGATGGTGTTCCCATCCTGATGAGTGTCAGCTGCTTAATAGAGCGATCAGGGCTATTTTTTTACCCCCTAACATTATACCCCCTGATTCTACCTTTAGACAAAGGTGTTTTAGAAAACCTAAAATAAAAGTTTCAATGCAGGCTTTTGAAACAGTAATTAGAAGAGCTAGAAAATAACAAAACAGTTGATGAAGGCCTAATGCAAGTTAATCTGAAATATGTCATTTACTGGCTGGGAGAATCATGGAACAATATGAAAAGCTGGGGAAATATTTTGTGGAATGATGATGGCATAAGAATGATGTGGACTTAAGAAGCAGATGATGAAGAGTTAGTAGCCCGTATATTTAAGGGTTCTATATTTAAGAGACAATAAAGAATGAAAATGTGGATGATAACAAAACAGTTGATGAAAGGCTAATGCAAGTTGATGCCATTTTACTGACTGGGAGAATCCCAGAACAATATGAAAAGCTGGAAAAATATTTTGCTGAATGATGATGTCATAAGAATGATGTAGATTCAAGAAGCAGATGATGAAGAGTTAGTATCTCTTACATTTAAGGGATAATAAAGATTGAAAGTGTGAATGATTAGATACAAGATGATGATATTGCCCGTGATGAATCCAATGAGATAGTACAATGAAACAGAAAGCTGTCATTATTTTTTTAATAAATGTGTGATATGTTATATATACTATACAGCATCTCACTTGTATTATAGGATACGTGTTTTCAAATTTATATAGTATGTATCATGTTTAGTTCTACATGTATATCTGTACATTTAAACTTTCATATGTTTTACGAGAGTCAATTAAAAAGTGAGTTGCACTGCCTAAGAAAACAAAACAGGAGCAAAATTTTGCAATAACTTAATTTATATCTTAAAGTTCCATTCAAAATCTACTTTTCAGTGTAATATCTCCGTTATTAAAGCATTTGTCGAGGCATGGTACAAGTTTTTTTGATGCCTGCCTTCTGCAAAGAAATCCCGTCCAGTATTCGATAACCATTGTTGGGCTGCAGCTTTCACTTCGGCATTTGAATGTTACTGTCGCTTTGAAAGTTCTTGCTTCATGGGACCAAACACATGAAGTCAGGAAGTGAAAGGTCTGGGCTATAAGGAGGGTGATTCCACACTTCCCACCTAAACGTTTTCAGAAGTTTGCACGTTTGTTTTGCTCCATGCGGTCTTGCATTGTCATGCAGTAGCACAATGCCTTTCGACAGTTTACCTGGTCATCGATTTTTAAGTGATTTCCACAATCTTTTTAGTGTTTCACAATAAGAAGATGTATTAATTGTGGCATCATTTGGTATGAACTCTGTATGTGCACCACGTTTTCTCTGTCGAAAAACAGCATCATCATCACCTTTCCTGCAGATGGAACAGTTCGACACTTTGTTTGTGTCAGGGAATTGCAATGTTTCCACTCGAACGAGCTGCGTTTCGTTTCAGGTGAGAAGTGTTGAATCCAAGTTTCATCTCCAGTCACACTTTTGTCCCCAAACTCATTTCCTTCCATTTGGTAATGTTGCAGAAATGCAAGTGGGCTTTCAAAACGCTTTCCTTTATGTTCCTCTGTCAATATATGTGGCACACATCGAGCGCGAACTTTACAAAATTTAAGGTGATTGGCAATAATTTTATACACACTTCCATGAGCAATATCCAGTTCATTTGAGATTTCATCTATCATTATGCGTCTGTTTGCAAGAATGCCTTCATTCACGCGAGCAACGATTTCCGAATTTGTTGCAGTTGATGGTCTTTCCTCGTGCTCAGCGTCGTCAATATCTGTATGTCCATTCTCAAACATGTTGCACCAGTTCGTGATAGCTTGACGTGACTTTGCATTTTCACCATTCACTTCATGCAACTGCCCATAAAGTTCAGGGCAGTTGCACCTTTTTGCCCACAAAAAACAAATCACTGCACGTGTTCGAGAATAGAATTTACTCGCACAATTATTCATGAAATTCAAACACTGAATTTAATGCACTGTAGATTTCTTTTGTTTTACTTCTGTTAACAGATATTAAACACATGAAAACTTACATAGACTTACTTGGATGGACACTGTTGCCATCCACATACATACACTTACCAACTCAACTACCAGCTCACTCCATCAATGGCCGCTAGCTGTCCATGTTCCATTTTTTATTCGTGGTTGCCAAATCACTCTATTAGTTAAACAATATTTATTCGATCATGGCGTCACTTCACTTCTGCCTTAACAGCATGCATTTCCAATTTGGACATTATTTGCAGCTGTTGAGACATGTTTGCAACTGATCATCAGAAAAACTAATTTTGCCTTGGGGAAGCCGCTATGTCACATGATAAAGGTACGTTTCTGAAGTGTTGTCACATGGTGTCATCCAAATAGTCTTAGATGGAACATATTTACCCAGTAGTGCAATAGACTTTTTGACTGACCTACGTATATTGTCATGTATCTGCATGAATCCTGTGTGTTAGCAAATTCTGTATAGTATGTGCAAAAAGACTATACTTTTAAAATTTTCTTTCTATCAATTCTTGTTATTTGAGTTTTTGCTTAGGTATGTCATTCCTGTTCACATTAGCTTGGCTAATGGGAGTACTGTTGTATGAATGTATAACAGTACTAATATAAACCCTTAACTAATATATTACAAACTTTGAAACAAGTAGTATTTCAATTAAAAAATATTCAACTTTCATAATATTTGTCAAAGCATATCAAATGTATTTCTTTCCTACATTGTATTTAAATTTAACGCATCCAGGAATCTGATAAAACACAATTAATTCTATTTTAAAAATGGCTTAGTACTTTTTTATATAAATAAGTAGAGCAGCATCACATTAATTATTGTTTTTCAGCTTAAACTGAAATGAGAACTAGTTCATTACTTGGCTGTTTTTGATGTGAATTATTATAAAGGCTATTGTATTGCTTGTTTAATTTTAACATAAAATAAGTTTTATCTTATCCTGTGTCCTTTTCAACAAGAGTTTTTTTCAATATTCGTAGGATTCGAAAGGTTAACTGTTTGATTTGAAAAGAATAGTTACTTTTTAAGTAATTCTGTTATCTATGTATCTAATAAAAATGTTATATCTAAATTATAAAAATTATAAATATTCATTTTTTCTTTTAGATAATGTTACTTTAAATATTGATGGAGTTCTATATTTAAGGGTTGTTGATCCATACAAGGTAAGACAAATTTTCTGTCAGAAGAAGGATAGAGAATTTTGTATATAACTAGACATACACCCAAATCGATTTCATACAGTACAAAGTCCGAAGTCCACCGGATTTGGGATTTTTCTGGATATTAGATCACAGTTTAAATCTAGTAAGATGGCATGTAGAAATTATAAAATTAAACGGATAATCTTTGGAATATGGTAACAGATAGTTTGGTGACATTTTGGTAAGGCGATAATGGTTACTAGCTAGGACTTTAGCAGTGTGCATGGATAAAGTCAAGAGTGTGCACAATGCCATTTTTGTTCAATTCTGGGATGTTTTTTCAAGTGAAAATAGGTCGACGTGTACATGGATGATACAGTGTATGTGCAATTCTTAAAAACGCGGCAAGCAGTGTACGATTCTGCACTTTCTCCCAATTTCGCACCTAATCTTCATCATTATTAAGCATTTTTGTTCCATAAAAGTTCTAGTATAAGTGTAATTTGGCTAGCAGATTGTTGGAAAAAATGTTGAGTAAAAAAAAAAATAAAAACATTCCTTTACTTCGTGAAAACAAAATGGCGTTCAAAACAAAACTAGCAGGTTGCTGTAACAGGGTTGGTCACCAAATTTTCGCCAAAAAATCGCCAAGTTACCATAATCCGAAGATTAACCAATTAAACATATGAAATCATGATTTATGAAATAATGAAGTATTTATGATCTAAAGCGTATCAAAATTTACAAAAAAAGCTTAATTTATTTTACCTTATTAAGCATTTCTTTCAATGGAAGTTGTTTAAGTTTCTTCATTTTTGTGCTAATGCTTTCTCTTTATTTCTGTAGACAGACATAATCTCTTGTTCAGTTACATTGTTGATGTCCTGTAACTGCTTTGTTGAGAATTCCGACTAACTTATCAATCAAAATTTTTTCATTTTCAGTAACTTCTCTGTCACTTTCTTTATTATCGGTAGTGGTATTTTCTGGATTGATGATTGAGAAACATTGTCGTCACAAGGAAAAACTTCTTTTATATCATCTTATATATCTTTATATCATATCTTTACATCTTTTATATCATTAACGCTTCTCCACATTTCTTTATAAAATCCGTTAATTGGAAAATTTCACCTCTGTTTTGCAATAGCCAAAAACCTTTAAAATTCGCGGCTGCCATCATCAAATTTACTATCATTCACTATACATATTTGGCTATGCATCATGAGCTTGGCTGGCAACTAACGACAAGTTGTTCCGTTAAATTTTATCTTGCTTCTGTCGCACACTGAGACAATTAAGCCTGATTTGCATTAGCTTAGTTACTACTTATACTTATGTCTATTTCTTGCACATACTTAAGGTTTATCAGAGTTCTGATTAAATAAGTTGGCACATATACTTAAGCCTTATTGAGGACCAACGCTGAATATCTTACTGCCTAATGCAGTCTCTGTGGATCCTAAATTCTCGACCCAGTGCGGCCATATGTGCCCTGGTGCTGGTTCTGGGTTTATGTGAATAACAAATCAGTTATTTTTAATTCAAATAGCCCTAAATGTAATCTTTGGGTCCATGAGTATCATCAATAAAATCTATTTTTAGTATATGGAAAGAAATTTTCCCTCGTCAACGTTTTTTAGCACATTTAACTTAAATCTGTAATCATCGCCTAACATAATGTCAACATAAAAGGTTACCATACTCCTTTATTATTCAATTACTAACATAAAAAATTGTTTAGGCATTGTTACATGAATCATTACTCAAGTTGTCATGTGTTGATAAACCTGCGGTGTCGCCAGGTTGGTGTCAGATGAACGATATATTTATGTGGAATGTGTCGGTTTGAAAAATGTATGCCAAGCAGATACTCAGCAACAGCGTCAAATTATTGACCATACAAATTTATGCTAAAATGATTGTTTCTTCAATAACAAGGTATTTTATTTAATGTTGGAGTAAAGTTAAGAATCAGGACTCCAGATGTTGTATTATGCGCGGAGGAGGAATCAAATGCGTATTCGTAAAGCCTACGAGAAAAACGGTGGTTTTGAGGTCTGGATTTTAGATCATTCCGGATAATGGACGTCCAGATTTCGGACTTTGGACTGTATAAATAAAGTAATGTTTATTTATGCTGAGTTAGTTTCAGATAAAATTGTTCAAGACCTGCGTTCAGCGTGGTTTTTTTTTTTTTTTTATTTTTTTATTTTTTATTTTTCATATATCACATTATGTTTATCTGTATTAAGTAACCATGTAAAGAAACAAATTGGAAAATTCGGAGCGTTGTTGTCAGTTATGTGCTAGAAAACCTTTAATTTAGCTGAAATTATAATTATGCAATACATTATCAGTGTGACAAACTGAGGGATTTAAATAGAATGAAACAAAAACAATATATGTATTTTTGGGATAATTTCTGCCTGTTTTATATTTGAATAATGTAATATAAACTATTGATGTTATTAAGCTATTTTTTAAATACCATTTCATCAAAACTAGTAAGTAGCTTTACATTCTTTTATAACAAACATTAATTTTTGTGTTAACTGTTTGGCTCTTGTTAATAAGTGACACCATTTAGTTTCTTTGGCAATGCTATTGATTATTTATCTCGATAGTGTTTGTTGAATTACTGATTTAAGTCTCTCTCCATCTCAAGTATACATATTTATATTGCATACACTCTGCCAAAAACAAAAGGGGAGAATCTTCTATATCTCCCATTCTATTCTGTCAGTTGAGGAAATTTAACTTGGATTTTTCATGTCTCGATGGTGTGGCTTAGGGTATATATTAGATTTATATATAGCTTTGTTCTAACATAAATATTCTGACACAAAAGCAGACTTTCTGGAATGGCATGGCAACTTTTTTTCCATGTTTTGATTTTGCCAAATTTTGTAAAAATTGAACATTTAGTTTTTAAAAAATCAGCTCTCAAAATTTTAACTCCTTACTATTAATTGGATTTGGTATATATTTGTTAATATCCCTCTTTTTTTTTATTAGACTTAGTTGAATCCTTCTTTCAGAATTCGAAATTCAGTCCAAATAAAATTAACACATTTTTTGTAATTTATTTTTAAAATTTGATTTTTAAGTAACTTTTATTATATAAAATTCTTTTTTTAAATAAAATTTTTATTATCTTTTAAACTATATGTATTTCTAGGCATACCTGCAAAAAAAAAAAATTCGTTTTTTATTCAATATTTCCTAAGAACTTTCATTATATAAAATTATAAAAATTTTTTAAAATTTTTACTATCTTTTAAACTATATTGTATTTCTAGGCATACCTGCAAAAAATTAGTTTTTTTCCAATAAAAAACGAATAAAAAATTAACACATTTTTTTGCAATTTAAAAATAAAATTATCCAAATAAAATTAACACATTTTTTTGCAATTTATTTTTAAAATTTGATTTTTTTTTAAGTAACTTTATTTTTATTATATAAAATTATTTATATAAAATTTTTACTATCTTTTAAACTGTATGTATTTCTAAGCATACCTGCAAAAAATTCGTTTTTTTTTTTTTATTCAATATTTCCTAAGATATGCATATGAATTTATATATTGGCATGTTTTGAAATTTGGCTTATTTATGAAAATAAAGCCAAATGTTTTATGCCCTTTATTATAATATTTAATGAATTGTAACAGTTGTCTTGAACCTTAAATCTCCAAATGTATACTGAGGATCATTCATGGAGAATTTATTTTCATTTTTATTAATAATGCATAATAAATATTTGTTAATATTAAATGAAAAGCTATTTTTAAAATTTTCAAAGAAAATTAAAAGTTTAAAGATTCCTCCACCTTTCATAAGAGTGAATTTAGTGAAGTATGCATCATATATGCATTCAACACTTCTGAATATGTTAAACAGTATATCAAAGATATAAATAAAACATGTTGTCTTTGACTACAGAAATGTTTAACAGCAGCAAAATGTTTTAGAATAAAAGCTGTTTATCTTTTCTGTATATAGCTAGGGCAACAAATAAAAATGATTCTTAAGATGTTTTATGTCCAAAGATATTTCATGACATTAAATGCATAATAATTTCTTAAACTGTTGTTTACATTTTAAAGGGCTCCTAATATTATCATCAAAGATTTTTGTTTTCAGTGCAAAATATATTTTTATGTAAACTTAGGATTTAGACATTTTTAAAAGTCAAATGGTGATTTGTCAAGATTTGAATTCGAATTATTAGTAATATAATAATTGATAATTATAATTACATTTATTTTTATATTGTAATTATTCTGTTGCATTAGAATTTATTAAAAATTTTCTTATAAAATAATTCACAAATTTAAAAAGTTGTCTTTCTCTGTGCATGTATTACTAATTTTATATCAAAGTTTTTATACCTATACTTCTGTTCTTTTCATCAACTCTGCCAAAAAGTTTTAAAAAAAAGTGATTTTTAACTACGAATGACAATCTAAGTTTCAAAGAGAGTACCGGCATTTCAACCATTGCCATTTGTGTGAAACTGATTTTAATGCATGAATAGCAAGGTACGTTATACTTAACCAAAAATATGTTGTTTTAATTACATTCTGTAGAAGTATATTATTAATGTAGAATTTTTATGCGAAAACAGTGTAAAGTATGAATTTGTATAGTAAATGAACACTAAATAATCTAATTATTATATCTGGATTTAAATGTTTGTTACGATTTATGAAGAGTCACATAAGTGTTATTCAATAATGGCAGCAGATGTTACTTAACTGCAGCCAAGAAGAGCTTAACTAGGATTCATATGTTAAGGGATCAGGTTAAGGGTTAGCCATTAATGAAAGTGCAAGCTAAGGAAGAAATAAAAAAAAGATTAAGAAAGTAAAATACTGGGATGAATGATGTAGAAGCCTTGTTGAAGAAAAAATCTGAACTTTTGTATTGAAGGGGAAAAAAGTAGAATTTCATATGAATAATTTAGATTTAATATATGATGGATAATTAGAATTTATTCTCAGTCGTGGTTAATTTTGTTGGATATTTCAATTAGGATTGTATGCGAAAGCAAGCATTTTTAAATTGTCAATTTTCATCATCTTAGTGATTCTTTCTGGCTCCTTTGTTAAAATTTATTTTGGTCATGGTTTTATGATTACATTTACATTTAAGAAAATTAAATTTATAATTTTCTGAAAATTATAATATTTCTCCTCATTTTGGTTTAATTTTGAAACAGATGTATGTCTAAACTTTATATATATATATATATATTTTTTTTCCAAATAAAAGCTTACTGTAACAGTGTGCAGTTGGTAGATTATCTTAACTTTTGACACCTGTTCTAATATTTTGGGTTTCAAATATGTTATCAAAAATCAGGATTTTATAATGTTTTGAACTATTTTATGTTTCCAGTCATGCTATTGAAAGAATTTATGCTGTATATAGCCATTGGCTAGTCAAATTGCTATATTAACATCTTCACTGAGATCAATTCTTCCACATAATTTCTTGGTACAGTCAATATGAATAACTAATAATTAGTAATAAGTTTCCCAATGAACAGCAAACATAGCCATAAGAAATATGAAAGTTTTAATAATAAGTATCTTTTTATAAATGATTTGTTCTATTGAAAATGAAGAGCAAATATAGCCATAAAAATATAAAAGTGTTGGTAATGAGCATATTTTTATAAATGATTTGTTCTACTGAAAAGTACTGTATTATATTCTGGAAATACAAAATAAATTCTTGTCTGAGGTTTGGGGATTATTGTATTAATTTTTTTGTTTAATTCTATCATATTTGAAATTCTTAAATCGACTTCTGCTTCTGTGTGGTTATTGCATTATAATGCAAGCAATTTAGAAAAGTTTGGTTATTTATAAATTATTGAGTATACACTTTTACTTTGACTTCTAGTTTCTCTTAATGAATTTAGGCTAGTTATGGAGTTGAAGATCCTGAATTTGCTGTAACACAGTTAGCACAGACTACAATGCGATCTGAGCTTGGCAAAATCTCCTTAGACAGTGTTTTCAGGGAAAGAGAGTCATTAAACATAGCCATAGTTGGTAATTTTCCTTTTTTTTCTTTAATAAAGAGTGTTTTAATCTTTAATAAAAAATTCACTGCAGTTTTACTTTACATATATTTGTAATAGTCCTTTCACATTCTTGGAAACATTTTGATTGTTCCTTATTTTATAGATGCAATAAATAAAGCCAGTAGTGCATGGGGTATTGATTGCTTACGATATGAAATAAGTGAGTTGTTTTTATTATATGTTTATTTTATGTTGTCCATAGTGCTAATTCAATGAAAAAATAAGGAATGTTTTAAACTTTTCTCTTTGCTTTATTTTTTTATGTTGGAGTTGCTGACTTTTTAAATTATGTGTTTGTGAGAGCAAGGTCGTTTACATACATTTGTGATAGCAGTTTTTTAATGGACAGTGAGAGTTTGGGAAAGTTACTGAATTTAAAAAACACCTTGAAAAATCAGACCACTTGTAGAAATGCAAATTTTCATAATGAAGTGTAATTTTTGTATAAAAAATATTATTGCAAAATTCCCCAAACCTTCATTAATGTTGTTTTAAATTACATTTAACTTGTCAGCCATTAATGAGTTAAGCATATTACAATAAAATATCCTCAAATATGACATTTTCAATATTTTTTTATAAATTTTGTATTTTTTTATTCGCATAAAAATTTTTGCACTTCCTTTGTACTTTGTATATGGAAAAATTACATATAACATTATAACTGTTTTCATCATAGAATGGATCAATTTAGTCAGAATCTGATTATTATTATTTAATACTTTGGTGTGAAATGGCCAGAAGGTGTATTTTTAAAAACTATCAAAATGCATTAGATTTTATGGGATGTGGCAGATTTTCAATTACATATGTTACTTATTGGTACAAAATATAATTAATATAAATTAAATAGTACTACTCTTTTTTGTATAATAATTATAAAGCCCAACTTAAAAAAAAAAAAAAAAAAAGAAAGAAAAAAAGAAGAAAAAATATTGATTATTGCAACTTTTAGCATTGAAACTAAAAATGTAATCTTAAATATATATTAGTTCATCGATAATATCCATTTTATATTCTAAGACAATTTCAATATCTTTTAATTGACAAAAGAATAAGAGTCATGTATCAAGAAAAGAGCATGTACTTGATTTAAACTGTGCTGAAAGCAGTGTATGTCATTAAGTTGTTATTTTAGAGTGAAGGTATGTTTCTTTTTAGTATATAACATAAAAAAAAAATTAAGTTATTTGATTTATAAGTGCGTTCTTCCTCTTTGCTCCCTCTCAAGGACATGTCTAATGATTTTTGGTTTGGAGTATTGCTGTGTATCAAGAATACATCTAATTAATTTTTGTTTTATAAATTTTATGCCACAGAAGCTTAGGATTATTGCTACAATAGTTTTCACAATCTGTGTTAATAATGGTTTATTACTGAAAAGTTTAATGTACATTAGATTGAAAGTTATATAGAAAATGGAAAATAAAAGTTTAAAATTATGTGCATGATATTTTAGGAGAGTGATACAAAGTAACTGTGTGTTCTCAGGTTTGCATAGTAGTTTCTTTAAATTAAGGTTTCAGAAAAAAGTATGGGCATATTTATGTATAGATTTAATTAAATTTATTGGACCAAATGGGAAAGCAGATTTGTGTTCAGTTATGACCATTTTTCAGAAAAAAAAAATGAGTAAATTTTTTCTCTTTTAAAAGCAAAGTTTTTATTCTGTGTTGTTATTTAAAAGATCTGTTGATAGTATCCTTTCAATTACAGGGGATATTAAATTGCCTCAGAGAGTAAATGAAGCCATGCAAATGCAGGTAGAAGCTGAAAGGAAGAAACGAGCTGCAATTTTAGAATCTGAAGGTCATTATATATTTGAGATTTAGTTAATGATGTTTCTCTCTCTCTGTGTATTACCGTATTTGGCGGCATATAAGATGCACTTTCTTTCCTAAATTTGGTCTCAAAAAAGTTACCTGCGTCTTATACGTGAAGGACAGTTTTATATGTGAAGGTAATTGCATTCAATAATTGTTTATTTGGCTGTTACGAAACGTGAGAACTAAAAGAAACCACGCTATTGAAACTTTTTTCCCTTGTGTGTGGCCGTCTAAATAAGGGTGCGTTTTATATGCCGGTGCGTCTTATATGCCGTCAAATACAGTATATAAAAATTAGAATACGAAGCAGAATAGAATATGTAAGATGTAACAAAATGTGATAGCTGCTTTAAAAATAATTGTTGATCTCAAAATTAACATTTCTATATTTGGTGCTCTCCCCCTAAATTTGTGTTCTTCCAAATTTGAGATTTTTCTACGTTCTGTAACACCACTTAAAAAAGGTAACTGAAACTAATATTAACCAATACTAATATTACCTACTTATACCTCAGATATGGTATAAATACTCTTGGCACAATAACTACATCATTATTTCTGCTATCCTCTACCTTGCATATATCCTACAACTGCCATCATTTTACTTATGTCATAATTTCGAAAGTTGTAGGCGAGAGGAAGGAGTTGATACCAAACTAAATTCAGCCAATTATCTTTATATCAAGATTTCCAGGCATGCTAGAATAATTCTTCATAGATAATATCATTACTGGCAAAGAGTATAGAAAAACCCAAGTCAATCTCATGGCCATAGTTGGGCACAGAAGTGCCACGCACACACAATCAGTTTTAAAACAAAATTTTTATTTTCTTTCTTATTGTAGGGTAATATTTAATATTTTTTTGCAAAATTTAAAAATACTTTAACTTGATTATGCAAGTTATTTGTCTTAATTTTGTATAATGTATTATTGAGTAATATGAAATATTTTTGCAAGAATGATAATTGTACAATGCCTAAAACCAGTTACCATTTTTTAAGAAATGGAGGTTTTTTTTATCTATTGTACTTAGGCATCCCCCAACCACCAGCAAGATGCTACGTTGATTTTTTTTTTGAAGAGGACATGCCAAATTAATTGTCAAAATATTATTGTCCATTATATTATTTTTTTATATTTAATTTTTGTTGCATTAAGTATGTGTATCCTCAATAACAATTTATTTAATTGTAAAATTAAGTATTATATTTTACTTAATATAAAAGTTCATTTCACTGAATATGAATTTCACTAAATATGAAAGCTGTATTTTACTAAATCTGAAACTATATGAAAGCTGACAACTCGATATGTATTATAATGGAAATATTTTCATCAACAAAAATTTGAAAGACTTGTTAGTGAACATTTACTTTATGAAAAACATGTGAACAATTACTTTGAAAGACTTTTAGTGAACTTTGAACATTTACCTGGTGGAACTATTTTCATAAAGAGACTTCTTAAACAGTTTTTATTGGACATTCAAAAAGACGTTGGACATTTTCCCAAAAGGACTAAAGGACTGTTAAAATTATATTTGTCTTAATTTATTAGTTAGTTTATTTAGAAATTATATTATTATTGCAATAATTGTAAATTAGTTATTTAAGTATTACATAATCTCTATATAAGAAAGATCATGAATCATGACGGGGCATAAGTAAACTTGCAGGCTATGGCCTTGATGCTACTCATATCTTTTTTCATATACTAAATTTTCTGTTGTTTTTGCTAATTTATTAAGCCACCCTGCTTTCTTGATCTTTCTTTTGAAAGGGGGGTATGTAAGATATAACAAAATATGATAGCTGCTTTTAAAAATACTTGGCGATCTCAAAATTAACATTTCTAGATTTGGTGCTCTTCCCCTAAATTTATCTGTTCTCCCGAATTCAAGATTTTTCTACATTATACATGTAACACTGCACGAAAAAGGTAGCTAAAATTAATATGAACTAATTGAAGATTAGCTCTACTTATACCTCAGACTTGGTGTAAATTCTCTTGGCACAATAATTGCATCATTATTCTGCTAGCCTCTATTTTGTTAAAATCTCCCTGCTTCGCTTCTCTAAAATGCCTGCATCTTAATTTCTAAAAAACCAATGTATATAAGTATATCGTAATTGTTATGATTAAAGACTATATTGTCTGAGGAATTATTCTAGTGTGCCTAGAAAGAAAGAAAATCTAGAAATAAAGATTAGTATCTGACTTTAGTTTGGTATCAATTCCTTCCTCTCGCCTACCACTCAGACATCACGACTGTGTTTTGAAATTATCACATACATATATACTGTATGTAGTTTTTGTTTGTTGTGAATAAGTCACAGTTCATCTGAAAATGAAACAAATTTAATGATAAATACGATTTTTACAAGTAAAAAATAAACCTTAATACATATTTAACATTTTAACATAACATCATTCATCTCACATCTTCGATTTTTTTTTAAAACTAAACTGACAAGAGTTCCATTATGTGAGATGCTGATCACTTCCTGTTCTTAAATCTTTGTTTCTTTACATCTTTTCGAAATTCTTAGTAAGCTTCAAAATTGTGAAATTCTGTGTCAGTTATTTCTTTAAATTTAATGTTTTCTTTAGCAAGTTCTTAGTTCCAAATAACTCAAAAGGATTAGTACTAATGTTTAGGCTTATGCAGTCAAATGTCTTTAATCCGAACTCGTCGGGGCTTTGGCGAAGTAAAAACTGTACTAAGGTGAGATACTCTTCCCTAAAGCCACTGAAAGAAACATAAACAAAAACACATGTGCATAAAAAAACCAGCATGCATGTTTACATTACTGAATCCCTCTTCAGAATCAAATGAAACAGTTTGAGGTCAAAGTTCAGGCATCATAATTCTCATTTATCTTGGTACCATGTATGTAGGGTGCCATCTATTAGAATTGGAAATATTTACATTTCATTCTGTGTAACTGTGATGTATACATTACAGCAGCCTAGCTAGGCACTAATCCTCCAGGGATAAATAGAAGGGCTAGGTCGTTCCTTTGTTCGACTCCTCGCCGACGCGAGCCTCATGGAGGGGAAGAACTGGAAGTAATCTGACGTGTCTGTGTTGCACCTGCTCTGATTTCGCGCCTTTAAAACTGTAGTTTCATTCAGTTACGAAAGGAAGAGATATTGTATTTCATGCTTTCCCCAACGACAATTTGCTTTTGACGAAAGAACGGATACATAAATGTTGAAGACAGGATTCTATTAATGTGAAAAACGCAAGAATTTGCAGCGAACATTTTCTGTGCAGTGATTATGAAGATGACATGAGAAATCGCTTGCTTGGATTGCCGCAAAAGAAACTTTTTAAATGCGATACATTTGAAAAGAAAACTACTGCAGAGTGCTTTCGAAAGACTACACGAATTAAGCCCAAAGAAAATTTATTTTGAGGCCAAGAATGAAATTGAAGCTGACAATAATAAATCAAATGTGAATGATTTTGAAATAAAACTCACAAGTGACAATACCGTATGTGACAACATCCCTGAATGCCCTAAGTGTAAAGATAAACAAGAATTATTGATAATTTGAAGAACAAAATAATATCCTTAGAAAATTGTAATAAAATATTGAAAAATAGAGAAAAGAAAAATTTTAGAATGTTTGCTCAGTGACAAAGAAGGTGGACGACATCTAGAAAGAAATTTGTATCGGAAATTCAGAAATTAAAATCACAAACAGCGAAATTTAGGCAAAAACAGCACAGATCGGAGAATTTGGAAAAACGTCTAAAGCATATTTTTACAAAGATGCAGATTAATGCATTGCTAGAAAAGAAGGAAAAAATCAGTGGACTAGTGAAGATATTTCACATTGCATTGTCATTAGAGCTCTGTCATTTAAAAGCTATGATTTTTGGAAAGAAAAAATGGGAATTCTTTTACCTAGCTCTAGCACATTAAAGAGATGGTGTGCTAAATTTTCATGTAGTCCAGGAATTCAGAGTGATGTTCTTGCTGTAATGAAGGGACGATGCGAATATTTGAATTCTGTAGAAAAAATATGCGTTCTCAGTTTCGACGACATGCACATAAATTCTAAACTCTGCTATGACTCTAAACTGGACCAAATTCTCGGTCCTTTTCAAAAAGTGCAGTTTGTTTTAATCAGAGGTCTCATTTCACAGTGGAAACAACCAATATTTTTTTATTTTAACACTCCAATGAAGAAAGAACTTCTTTTTTCACTCATAAGACATATTCAATCATCTGGAGTAGAAGTGAAAGCAGTAGTGTCTGATTTAGGAGGATCTAGTACTTTGTGGAAAGAGTTACAGATTTTGATTAATAGTTCTCAGTTTCCAAATCCAGTATTGCAAATGAAAAAAATATGGGTTTTTGCAGATTTAGCGCACTGCCTCTAATTATTGAGAAACCACTTTTTAAATAAAGGATTTGTTTTAGAAGATGGAACTGTTTTAAATGTTGATATTATAAAAGAGGTTTTAAATAAAGATTCAGGAAAAATTAAATTGTGTCACAAACTAAAACCAACTTATTTAATGGTCAAGGGAAATGAGAGACAAAAAGTCGCTCCAGCGAAAACATTATTTTCAAGAACTACCACAAAAGGTATACTCACAGGAAATAAGAAAGCATCCGACTTCTTTGAGTTAATCGACAATTTTTTCGATATTATGAATAGTACCAAAACATACCCTCCTTCAGATAAAATACTTAAAGCAGCATTTGGATAAAATGAACATCAGGAAAAACAAATTCAAGTTTTGGAATTAATGAAGAAAGCCATTGGTGGATTAAGAGTTCAGGGAAAAGCCAGCTTACTGCCTTTCCAAAAAGGAATAATAATTTCAATAAATTATCTTTTTGGCCTACACCAGGATTTGAAATCATCGTATGATGCTAAATACATTTTAACCTCTAGATTAACTCAGGATGCACTTGAAAGTCTCTTTAGTCAGATTTGAGGGCTCGGTAGGTTTAATGACCAT